ACTTTTTTCCACAAGTGAACTCAAACATACCTGAATTAATCCAGTTTGAGGTTAACTGTTACAGACTTGAGGGCAATAGTTAAGGTCCAGAATAAACTATTTAACACTTGAGTACTCTTCACATATTTAACGACCTCATAACATATGCAAGAGCCCCCCAAGTATAAACAACAAGTAATTACAACATTCCAAATTACTGTTTTGTCACGCTTAAGACATATGGGACTACTTCAGCATCCAGATAAACTGGGATAAGACATCACCAAAAGTAAAACATAGGGTTTAAGTTTAGACTTCTTTCAAAATAGAATCAGCAAAGCATACCATTAGCACACACGATCCAGAAGTCCCTGCTTAACAAATCGACAGGTAGTGGCAGTAGAAAACGATGACTTTTTTAAAAGAACCAAATTTATTTTTTACTTAAAGTAATCGTGATGCAGTTCCACTGGTGAAGCATCCACTGTCTGGATAAAGACAACTTTGCTGAAGAGTGCAGGCTGTGCCTGTTACAATTAAACTCTTACGTATGATCAGGAAACTTCTTCATGGTTACCTCAGCACCTATGTAACATTTTCTCTATTTAACCAGTCCACTCCAAGTTTTCTATTTCTAACCCACAAATGGATGCACCACAATCCCTTGATCCACCCATTTCCAGCAAACACCTGTAAACAGTCACAACAGACTATGTTGTTGTAAATTATTACTTTCTGCTAGGAGATTCTGCTAGCAGAGTAAAGAGTAGCAGACATTTGTCCACTTCTACCAGTAACTTCAGTTCCACAGCTCCCGCAGTGTTATTACACCCAACGGGGCTGGACATTTCTGCTAGCTTTCTCACAGAAATTCTTTTTTATTCCAAATTTTGAAAACAGATGTCAACTACTGATGTTTTGAACGTACTATTTTATTAAGACATAAAAAGGACATTAATTATATCATAGAACGTCAACAAAGCTTTGAAATACTAAAAGCACATTTGATTGTCACAAAGAAAAAAAGCCCATCAAAACCTTCATCATAATTTAAGTTAATAAAGCTTATATTTATCTGGAAAAATAGCAGTGCTTTTTTTGGCAATATAATAGCTTTTACTCTCTGCCAACTATTTTAAATGGTAGATTTAAAAAAAAAAGAAAAAGATTTAAAAAGAAATTATGCCATTCCCTAAGCCAGAAAACAGCTTTTAAGTAAATTATTTAGGCAAAGAATAGAAGCAATGTTTTTGTTGCTTAAGTGTTACCCTATGTATACATTGCAGCTGATGTTAATATTTATTCCATAGTTAAACGTCCATTAGCTAATTCAATTAAATTGTGAATTTGTTAACTAATACTTCTCTACCCATTTAGTTACAGTCTTTTGAATTACATTCTATTAAATGTTAGCAGACTTTCCAATGCACTACAGTTTGCAAAATTAAATTAGTGGAGTATCTCCCATTTATACAGATTGTCACTTCACTAAGAACTCCTAAATCATTTCGAAAATTTAAATTATAGTGTAACTATAATAATTTCTATTCAGAAGTAATAACTGCTGCATGGATTTATTCTGTATGGTACCAGGCATCCTTAATCCCTTTTCAACCACTTCATGTGAGAAAAGAAACAAAAATAAAGAGCACTCAGGACCTCCCAGGATTACTCTACAGATTCACATATGAACTATTATATTACTCACCATTCGGGGCCTCATGTTGAAGGCAGCAATAGAATTTTTAATTGCTATGCTATTAAAAACATTTTAAATTGACTTATTGATTGTTAGGTATGCATTGTTAATGCACATCTTTAACACAGAACTGCCTGGGTTTGCTCAATTACTGTACAAAAAAGTATTTTTTCAGAGTTTGTTTTATTCTTGAAAACATAAGAAATCAGAAAATAACACTAAACCTCATTATACTAAAATACAAGTGTCATACACATTTTTATGTCTATACATATATAAATATAACCACAGTATCACAGAATGGTTTGGGTTGGAAGGCACCTTAAAGCTCATCCAGTCCAACCCCTGCCATAGCCAGGGACACCGCCCACCAGCCCAGGCTGCTCCAAGCCCTGTCCAACCTGGCCTTGAACACTGCCAGGGAGGAGGCATCCACAGCTTCCCTGGGCAACCTGGGTCAGTGTCTCACCATCCGCACAGTGAAGAATTTCATCCTAATATCTAATCTAAATCTCCTCTCTTCCATCTTAAAACCATTCCCCCTCGTTCTATCGCTACCTGCCCTTGTAAAAAAATATATACACACCATATATGTACACCTATGATGGATCACTTCCTTTCAAGCTTCTCTGTCACTCATTAAAGAGATCCATAAAGTTCACAACTAAATCTTCCTACACCCTCCAAATTCCTATTTTCACAACCAAATAATCTTAATGTCAGCTACTTTGCCAGCACTTTCATTGCTGTTACTCTACAGCTTCATCAGCTCAAGAGTCAAAAGTGCACAGAGAAGTGAGTAGAATTTCTGGAATACAAATCCTGTCCTGTTATCATTCATACTGAATTACTGCACAAGTTCCTCAACAGACTTGTGTAATGTGTTAAGCTTTTGAAGTACATAAATTCATTTTCTGTTAAAAAATAAGGTATGTTCTTAAATCCTGTTAATATTTGCTCATACATTCCACACGGAAGTAGAAAGAACACATTTTAGCCATCACAATGTTAGTGCTTACAAGTCGACAGCAGCAATTTAAATTCAGGGAAATCCTCCAATTTCTTTCTATTACATTGAATTACATATTTTTAACAACACTCAAAATATGTTAAGACAAAAGCTTACAGTGAATTCTCAGCTGCATACCCAGAATATCTACAGTTACCGAAATCTATATACAGACAAAATTGAGATGCCCCACTATCTGAGTCAATATACTCTTAAGTTCTTGCATTCCTAGCAAGTTAATTTGTACGACCACATGAAACAGACTGAGTAACTTGCTTTTTATTTGTGGTTTATGACATGGATTTAAATTCAGCATGGATTGATAAAACACACAGCAAAACGTGTAAGAAGCTCAAAGTTATCTAATCAATTTTTCAGGCAGTGAGAAAAAAAATGGGAGACTCAAATTTCTACCTGATCTCCTTTGGAAAGGAAAAAAGTCAACACCACTTAAAAAGGAAAAGAGGAAAGAGACAAAGAACACCACGACACAGTCCCTTTTGTGTTCATACTGTGCAATCCATTTCAAATGTAAAATTCATAGCAAAATAATCTGTTACAAGAAAACACAGCCTGTATGACATACACCCTCAACGGGCTCCAAAGCAGAAGAGAATGCAAGAATACTTCAATTTGCATCAGGAAGTCAAGCTCTACTGATGAAACATGAGAGGGCTCAGTTATTTCCTTATTACACATCAGAATTAGCCTTTGACTTCAAAAAATAAAGCAGAAACACAACAAAAAAACCCAAGTACTCTCCTCCTCTCTTAGAAATTAATCTAAATGAAGCCTGTATTTGTAAGCCAGGTACTTAAACGTAGAAAGTACTTGATTTGACAGTTGCACGGGCAAACACACGCAGTGCATCCATATATGGAAATACATCACTTTTTCTTTATCCGAAGTACAAGGTATGAGCATAAGGAGACAGAATTTAATTATACAAGAAATCCTAAATCTGCCACTTACTGATTTTGCAGAGACAATAACCACTCTTTAAAGATACCAGCACTGTTTCTCTCTGCATGCTTTACACCACGTGAGAATGTACAGAACAGCCACCACAGCCACCCCCATCCACATGCACAAATCAAGAACAGTTGCAAACGGACGTTCTACAACAACAGCAGAGTGAGAAACCAAAGATCATGGCAGGATAGGAAGTTGAAGGAATATTTAACTTCCCTTTCACCCAGCAATTACTCCCCACGGGCGTTAACGGGTATTTACAGCCGACCATTTCACAGAAGCCCTTTTATATCCTATTTGAACTGGTACATGTCCTTCATCCCTCCCTGTCAACAAGTACTGCCAGTCTGCACTTTCTTCAGTAGGTTCCTGGTACTTTTAATGTATAGGCCAAGTGTTACAATATGGGACTGGTTTTGTCTGCGGTTACGTGGTTTTAATTTTTATAATTACATGCACTTTATCACAGGACGGGCAAAACAAAGCATTAAACAAATCCTATCATCTCAGTGTCCCTTAAAAAAGGGCATATTCCCTTTCACTCAAGCACCACATGAACAGGGTATCAGGATAAAGCGATTCTTCAGTTTCACCCCTGGTTGGCCTGGGTGGAAGTTAAATTTCTGAAAGGTAAACAGACTTAATGCAACCTTTCTACTTTAGGTCTTCCTTACTTCTCTTCAAACTCTCCTACCTGAATTTACTTCTCCCCAGACCAGAATCCTTGCTAGCAAAAGGAAAACTAGGAGTTGTGTCTACTGTCTTTAACTTCTGGTAGCAAAGTCACCACCACTGCATTCCTAAACACACAATTTCAAATAAAAATTCATCAGTGGCACAGTGTGCTTGGCTGAAGAAAGAGAGATCAAACACATTCAATGACATTTTATACAAGCTACTGTAATGATTCTTCTCTTATTTCCTAGATTTGTCTTTGGCTTTTTTCCCTAGACTAGTGGTTTTTGGCTTTTAATTTGGGATTTTTTGGTTTTTAATTTTAGTAGTGGGATCCTGTATAGCAAGTTTAAAACCACTGACAATAACCTTCCTTTCCTAGTTACCCTTTTCAGCATCTCTAGTAATAATCTATGAAACTCCCAAAGGCTGTGGACCAATATTTAAAAAAAAAAAGACCCTGAATGTGCTCCTAGCTGTACAAGTTAGCTTTTAAAGCAAGCTCATTACTAAAAAAGAAGAAATAAAAAACCAAAACAAAACCAAAACCACTAAGTCTTCACCTTCCATTTGCATCCTTTCTGTGCCACCCCAATGGAGCACCAGTGAGTGGTCCACGCTCATCCCTGTCCAAAGAAGAGAGCAAGAAAAATCACTTCCACTTACTTGGTGTTAATTCTGGGTTTCCTTTTAAGTTCATCATCTTTGGAATTGAAGGTCCATATATGTCTGCATCAAGCAAGCCAACGTCTTTTGTCTGTGTAAGTAACAAGAAAAAGAGTTAGTCAAAATGTCGGTCTTCCTTCACGAATTATTAGGTAAGCAACATTTCAAAACTGCCCACAGGAAAAAAAAAAATCTTGATTTTAGACCTAAGTTATCACTGTTTTCTAAATTGCAATTGAAGCATGAAATACAAAAATGTCTCCCAAAGTTGAGGCAGACATCTTCACAAAATCCATATTCTCAATACACAGAATTCTCACTTGCACATTTTCTTACTTACAACGTAGACCACAGACTTTATATTAACAAACATTACGAGCAATGTTCTTTCTACTCCATGTACTTATGCAGAAATAATACACTGACTTTCTTTAAAAGGTATCAAATTATATTGTAAAAAAAAACAAGCAATGCTTGTAAATATATTTGAATCAATGCGATTTGAATTATAGTAGTGACTATGAGGAATGTGAAAAGCAGGTTTTTATCTTTCATTTAAGTAGCCAGAGTAAACTTCTGCAGTCATCTTAAAAATACTGAAATGCAAGTCTCTGAAGCCAATTAAGCAGGCATAACATTTTAATCAAGTGCATTTACACAAAAGAATGTTAAAAGCATGCGTTTATTCAACTACATATGGTACATTAGGCAATAAACTTTAAATAAAAATTATTTCAACTATGTAGTCTAGACTTCCAAGATTCATTTCTATATGTTTTTTTATAGATATACACACATATTTTGTGGAAATTAAACTATTTTTCTTACAGATGGCAAGACACACAACCAATTTCTAAGTTCTGCAAATTAAGTAGTAAAGAGCAAGCCCTTTAAAGTGCTGAACATCAGGTTTTTCTAATATAAAAAGCTAACTGTAGTCAACATTTTGCAAAATCGCAAGCAAGTATGTTTAAGGGCTTGTTTGAAAGGTTAAGGCAGCAATGGGAGCTTTTCCAACAATGCCAAATCAGACGTTCACTATCTGTGTTTCAAAATATGTGCTTCATTTTGTGGAAGATGCTTTCATAATTTGGTATCATATATTAAGCAATTTTGTTATCACAGTTTTGATGGGAAAGATGGAGAGAAAGACAAAGGCTCATTGACAGCTATCAAGTTTCTGGTTAGGAGAAGAGTACGAGACTTTTACTGCAAGTGTACAGCATCTCTACCCTTGAACAGGATTTCTAAACTTGAAGGATATTCTGTGGCATCACAATCAGTTTGCTTTTAAAATAAATTTAAAAAACCAAAACAAACAAAAACAAACAGAAATGCACCTAGATTAAAAGGTCACTTTTAATTCAGGCCACTACTTTTAAATAAATCTGAATTTAAACTAAGATGAAGAAACTAACTCACAGACTCCTGGACACCTGAGAAGCAAGACTGACCCTTTTTACAACAACATATGTAGTAATTTGAGGTTGTGGGGGGGGAGGGGTGTCTGTGAAGGCTGCTTGCTTTCTTTTCTTCTTCTCTTTTTTTAAGCTGTTGATACTGAACTCTGAAGACACCCTTAAGAGCAGAGCAGTTCAAAGTGTTAAAGCAGGGCATCTCATGAATGCTTACAAATATCTAAAGGGCGGGCGTTAGGAGGATGGGACCAGACTCTTCTTGGTTCTGCCCAGCAACAGGACAAGGGGCAACAGTCACAAACTGGAACATAGGAGATTCAACTTTAACATAAGGAAAAACTTTTACTGTGGGGGTGACAGAGCACTGGCCCAGGCTGCCCAGAGAGGTTGTGGAGTCTCCTTCTCTGGACACATTCAAAACTCGCCTGGACGTGTTCCTGTGTGACCTGGTCTGGGTGATCCTGCTCTGGCACGGGTTGGTTGGACTGGATGATCTTTCGAGGTCCCTTCCAACCCCTACCATGCTGTGATTCTGGGATTCAGTAAATTTACCTAACATAAGCCAAATGCACCTTAAATTTTACAACCCAGAAGTAAAAAAAAAAACATTACTACAATTGATCTACCATGTACTTTGAAAAATAAGGTTTTACTACAAAAATCAACTGAATTTGGGTTCAGTTATTCGATATATTTTTTATTAAACAGAGCAAAGCACATGTAATTAGATGGATTATTTAATATAGATTTTTTTAACATTTCTTTCTTGATAACATCTTGTGAAAGATGGTACGAAAAAGTTCAGGACTTACTCTGACAAATTATTCTACTGCTTGCCTACTGTATGAAAGCTGCAATTACAAAAAGGTTGAGAAGACCCATTTTTATGTTAGATTTCAAAGCCATCAACAACAGTATTAGAGCTTCTTTGTTCTTGTACAAAATGCATATTTTAACAGATCAGAAAGATTCATGACTCAGTCCCTTTATCTGTGTCAGCAGCTAACAGAACCCATCAAAACATCACCTAAGGGCTGTGCCACCTAATTCCTTCTCAAATGAAAGTAAATATTTGCAGAAAAACCTACAGTGTTTTAAACCTGACTGACATCCTTTCCCTCAACTTTTTGAGGCATTCCCTCCAACAAGGATCATCACTACCCGTTGACTGATTAACCACAATCATCTCACAACTCACTACTGTTTTGTTTTCAGCTTAAAGGGACTGAAGATTTAGGATGATCTAAATTAATTCCATTGACTGATTTCCTGGGCATAGTCAGATTTTCACCACCACGGGCCACTTATTCATAGGAGTCAGCAGGTTTTTTTTATGTATGTACGAGTGTACCAAATTTCCTGAAATTAAGACTAAATCCATGCTCACGGGGGTAAAATAGCCCTCAATTACCTAGGAGGACTTTGAAAATGCAGCTACTGCTCCAAATTACAAAGCTGATCTTTCTTGCACACTAATACAATAAATCTGAGAGTTTCTCAAAAAAATGTCCACCCTTTCTCAAAAATAAGAAAGATGCCTGTTTCCGAGATGCACCGCTTTTATTTGTGGATATGGGTCAATAAAATGGTTGTCTTCAACAAGCAAACAGTCTCCAGTTTCTACAACTCATGTTAATGAAAGCACAAGAGTTCCTGTAAGCACAGTGCTTTCTACAGGATTATAGGAGAACCGTCTTCTGGAAAATCTTTAAATCACTGGCAAAAGGTAGCCTAAGGTAGGTTTTTTTCCTTCACCGAGCAAGTCAACATGTTAGGTAAAAAGAGTTCACACTGCCTGAAAGTAGCAGCTTATACAGGAAGCGCTGGCCCAATAAGCTAAGGTTTGAGTTTTGTTTCTCTCAAATGTGTAAGCATCCCTAGAATGCTAATAACAACCCTTCACTCAAGGTTTCACTGCCTTGGAAAAGCATCTTTTGAGACAGGCACAGCACAGTCCACATCACCTCTTCCCACATGTACAACGTTTTAAATCCCCAAGCTATGAAATAATTACCACACTCCTGGATGCTACCACATGAAACTTAATGAGAATTACCAACACCAGACACTTCTCATGCTGAGCAAAGTTTAATCCAGCTGCATGAGTTACAATAATAAAAAAAATGAAATTACATTTTAATAAATCATGTTTCCACCTATGTAGCCGACACTTCATATAAATCAGCAAGTCTTTCAAAGTGCTGCTGTATTAAAACAAATCCTAAAAAGTATACGTAACATCAGACAAGGCAAAAAAGAACATCTGGGCAGAAGGAACTGATTACAGGGGATCACAAACAGGACCAAGAAGACAACTTAAAAAAACCTCTAGGATTCCTCTGATATCCTGGCATTATTTTCACATGCATATACAGCTCACACTGATGCCAAATCGTTTTTTCTTAAGTAATACTAGGGTTACGCAGACAGAAATGCAGCACTCAAAGAACATCAAAGCATGTCAAAGTCCCCCCCCTTCTAAGCATTTTTCAGAGCACAGCATCCACCACTGCTACAGCCACCCTCGGCACTCTGCAGGAAAAGGACTCGGGTAATACAACCCCACCATCTTCTTACAGCTGCATTTTCTCCTTACAGAAATATTTCTATCCTGTGCTATTAAACGAAGTGCTCCATCTCGCCAGCTGGCATTGCAATAACCAAGTTCCAAACTGCTGCTCTCAAGTTCACATTTGTCCTTTTCCTTCCACCTGCCCAGCTGTGGAAGCAAGTCTGAATCAACCTTCAAGTTCACCAAGCCTGGAAAACACCCTCTAGAGACCTGTGGTTTTTTCCTGCCTCACTGCAAGTTCTGAACAACGTAAACTCTCAAGATATAACTGACAATGTAATCAATCCCATATGATTTAACCATGTACTTCCACATCACTAGAAGCTCCTTTGAAAAGATACGCTAAAGAAACACATGCAGAATTATCAACCTCTTCATACAGAGTAAGATCCTTAGCAATATTTCATCAGGCAGAGAGGACACAAAATTAGAAACAAACATATTGCCAGCACATGAAAACACAAAAGTGCTCTCTTGGTCTATTCAGCAAAACATAAACACTCACAGATGTTCACATTTATCTTCTTATCAATGCTTTTCAGGCTTCCCGCCTTACTGCTAAATGCTCTCTAGCACAGAGATCTGGGATGGGCTCTTCCTGCAGCACTGGTGCTACCTGGCACTGTCTCATCTGGTCACTGGTGAGCTCAAGACCACAAAAAAAATACTTACAGAATAAAGGACTGTGGTAAAGAACTGTAACTCCTCTTCATCTTCTGCTTTTACATCATTGACTACATCACCTTTTTTACTTCGCTACCATTAATCTTCTCAACAAGATATTAATGTGCATGATCAGACCTCTCTAAAGATTTGCAGCAAATATTCAGCATAAGGTACATCTATGGCATCACTTGTATCATCACTGCACCTCTTACTCTGTGCAAATACAGTAAAATTTTAAAGCCAGTTTAGAAATTTCTCGCACCTACACTAAGCAATGAAAACAAGTTCTCAGTCATCAGGTATAGATTCTATATTCACAGGGAAACCACGTGCTACATCAACAGGTAAATAAGATATTCTTGCATATATCCCTGAAAGATGAGAAACCTACAGCTTCATTTTGTGCAGTGTACAAATTACAGGCATAGATAACCT